GTAAGGTAACATCCACAGGTTCCAGGGATTAGGATGTACATATCCTTTGGGGACCACTTTTCAGCCCATCACAGTGGTCCAGTTATAAATTTTCTATGTGTGCTTGAGAAGAATATACATTCTCTAATTGTTGGGTGAGAATTCTGTATTTGTTCATGACTCTTCTTACCTTATTTTAAAAAAATAATGAGGGCTGGCCCCGTGGCTTAGTGGTTAAGTGCGCATGCTCTGCTGCTGGCGGCCCGGGTTCGGATCCTGGGCGCGCACTGACGCACCGCTTCTACAGCCATGCTGAGGCTGTGTCCCACGTACAGCGACTAGAAGGATGTGCAGCTATGACATACAACTATCTGCTGGGGCTTTGGGGGAAAAAATAAATAAATAAAATTATTTAAAAAAAAATAATAATAATAATGATACCAATTTGTCAACAAAGATGTGTATTCTTAGCATTATACTACAAGAAAGAATTTATATGATACTGGCCCTCATTTAGGGATCTTTAAATAGCATACTGGGGCTGTATCATGGCAGGTTTACAGAATTGCAGAAACATTCGTCATATGTCCCATTATATGGACCCTTTGTTTGTTCATTCCTTTATTCCTTCCTTCCTTCATCATTTATTTGGAAAACATTTATTGACTATTAATGTTTGCCGGCCCATTGTAAAAGCTTGAGCCTAGAAATAAATAAGACACAGTGCATGCCCTTATTGAGCACACATGTTAGTGTGGCGAGGCAAATATTTAAAAAAATAACAGTAAGTAATGTGTAAGTAGTGGTAAGTGCTTTGAAAAATAAAAAATAAAGCAGGATAGAGAGTGACAGGCAGGGCAGGGGGTGGGTAGTGAGTGAACGTGCCATTTTTAGGTTGGATGACCAAGGAAGGCCTCTGCCATTTGAGCAGAGACCTGAGGGAAGTAAGGGCGCAAGCTGTAAGAGAATTTGGGAAAAGGGTGTTCCAGGCAGAGAGAACCGTAAGGCTCTGAGATCAGCTTGCCCCTGGCATGTCTGAACCTAAGCAGAGCCAGCAACAGGGAAAGGTGGTAGGAGATGAAGTTGGAGAGGAGGCCAGAAGGCAGGACTTGCCAGGCCTTATAGCCTTTGGTAAGGACTTCGAACATTTAATAAAATGCCCAGAGGGTATAATGTTCAACTGTAGTTCTCTGAGGCGTTTTCATAAGGAACTAAATTAACAGTTTAGGTCTGAGAACAGTAAACTTGACTTGCGTGTATGTATAGAATATGTACATCTATCGTAAGTTAATAATTTACTCTGTTTCTTCTTTTTATATAGATTTACATGGTCCAGGGCATATATGGTTATCATCATTATATGCAGGATCGGGTAGATGACAATGGCTGGGGCTGTGCTTATCGATCTCTGCAGACTATCTGCTCTTGGTTCAGACACCAGGGATACACCGAGAGATCCATTCCAACACACAGAGAAATCCAGCAGGTACAGAACGTGCCGTTTTCCATTATAGTCAGTGGTGCATTTCATTAGCCCATGATATACCATTAATAATTATTACCTCATGGGCACAGACTTATTTCTGTTTTGAAGGAAAAGAATATACTGGTCATCAGGGAAAATTCCCTCAATGTGATTTTTAGTATCTGTCTTGTGTATGGACGTTCTGGTATTTTAAATGCATACAGGCTCTGGTTGACGCCGAGGACAAACCAGCAACCTTTGTCGGATCTCGGCAGTGGATCGGGTCTATCGAGGTACAGCTGGTGCTCAACCAACTGATTGGGGTCACTTCAAAAATACTCTTTGTCAGGTAAGAAGAAATTAGAGAAAGCACTTCAAAGCAAGTCTGTCATTTTATTAAAATAATAGAAAAATTATTTATCTTTTCCCCACATTTGTTTTCACTCCTCTCTCTTCCTCCACATTGCCTCATTGCTTTATAAATCTCATTTTTTTAACCGTAAATTTTTTTTGGTTATTTTTTAGAAGACTTCTGAGTTTGTGAGTAAACTTTGTGATATATACTGGTATG